CATATATGATGTGTATATATATCTTTTACTAGACACAAACAGAAGCCTATAAAGCAAAATAACAAATGCTTGTGTTTCCATGCTATATATGCATATACATAACACGCCCATGCATATACAACATGTTTATATGTGTGTGGATGTGTGTTGTCTAGGGGGTGTCAATTTAGGGTTTGGGGTTTCAGGGTCTAGGGTTTAGGGTTTCAGCATGGGTTTAGGGCTCGGGGTTTCCAGCGCCAGCTTCCAGTGACATATGCGCAGCCTCCGAGCGACATAAGGTTTTGGGGTTGAAGCTTCGGTGTGTTTTAAAGCTTAGAGGTCAGAGTTTAGTAAGGGTGCCGGGCACAGGATAAAATAACCGGGATTCAAGTCGCAGTTACAGGGTCTGTCCTAATTAAACCCTATACGGTTTACATACAACAAGGGCTCAGGGTTTAGAGTTTTGCAGACCAGCAGCAAATTAACGGACGGTGGACGCCGGGCTTCAGGAATCGGACGGGGAGGGGATCGGGCCCTAAGGTTGGTAAGCGGAGGTGGGGTGCCTAATTCAATGCCCTGGCCTATATAGGAATCTCACGTATTCGGGGCGCTTAGGGATGCAGTCGGCTTTCGGTTCCCGGGTTCAGGGTTGGAAGCTATAGGGTGTTGAAGACCTTCGAAGCAGGGGACGTTTGACTCAGTTGGTACGCGATAGGGGCAGGTTTAGGGGCTAGAGGGCCCTGTTAACTGTAAGGAAGAGTTTGGGACCTTCAGGGTTTTGGGTGTGAGGCTTTACAATATATAACAGCATTTTTGTATTCAAGCTTTCGCAGCTTGTAAACGTGCCCATCTAGAAAGAGGATTGGATATGTTTCGAAACATTCGGGGCCTCAAGGCTCTTCGTTTGGCTTTATATGCTTGCTTCATGTTACACAACAGTAAATATACAGAATGTGCTGCTTTAGTGTGAGTTGAGCTGGGGGCTTGCTTTTGGGTGCTTAGAGCAAGCAAGTACGTCAAACTGCAAAAGTGTGCGAATCGCCNNTATGAGATGACAGCAAATTCTATTCCATAGCTTCACTAGGCTTCAGCAAACGGTGATTTTCTCAGCGGACTGGCACAAGCTTTGCCGTCTCCAACTGTCCCGGCAAGCCCAGGATCCATCTTTTCAGCGTTGACACAGTAGCTGTTCTTTTGTGTGTGCTCTTCTTGATCCTGACCACGTGCTTGTTGTAGTCCTCGTCCATCCAGGTAGCATGGTAGTTAAAGTTTGCACGGCTCGCGCAACCATCGCAGAACAAGTGGTAAAGCATGTGGAATTTCGGCCTTAGCTTCCAAACCTTTTTCCTTGCATCCAAAGCTGTACTTGCCAGCTTCAGATAGGATTTCATGAAAAGGCTCCCGATGGTACTGACGTGCACGTACTCAGCTTCAGTCATGTACCTTCCAGATGCGCTCGCAACACTAAGACAGGAGTCTGCAGCCCATAAGCACGTGCAAAGAAGCTCGCGATTCCGAGGCGGACGTTGTGTTACTTCTGAGACCAACCATCTCAAAATCACGAAAGTGTCGTAGCCTTTGCACATCATTTCCGGATACCCTTTTCTCTCGAAACCCAAGTTTTGCCGCGTCAGCCTTCTAATGCTAAGAGTGTAGCCCTGAGCTTTCGAAAACTCCAGCAACCTGAGCGAAGCGTCACGCAGCCGAAGCGCCACAGTTCGGCCATTGAACATACCCGCATGCAACAGCACCTTTACTGCTGATGCAACCAGATCTCTTCCAGTTCCCAGATGGAACATGTGCAGAATGTCCGGCCAGACCATGTCCATTTGGAATCCTGGCAGGTCCAAGAACTCAGGCCTCACATCGTAGGGGTCGCTGAAGCCGTAGGAAGCCCTCCATTTTGCATTTGGCTGCAAGTTGGTGTAGCAGAAACCCAGGTCAGCGCCTTCAACGTTACCCTTTGTAGCCATGCACTTCCAACAAACCTTCCAAGAAGGATTAGTGTCGTAAGTAGCATGTATGCATCATGGCAGCATACATTTTCGGGCCTCGAAGGGCTTAGGGCTTTAGGCTTATTAGGGCTTTAGGGGTTCGCGTCCAATGAACTCAGCTGAGCAGCCTCTTCTTTGCCCATGTGCCTCGTCAGATTGAAGGCCTGGCCAACATACTTCCAGTCCCCTCGCGAAGCCGTGACCCAGAAGCGCATGTTGGCCACCTGACCATATAGCTATAGCTGGACAATCACATTTATATAAAGTAATTAAACTATCAGTTGGAACGTACCCATGGCATCCAAGTAGCTAGCTCCCCACCAGCCGAAGGGAAATCCCTGATTTGCAAACCACATGCAAGTTTAGCGAACGAGGCAGTGATAGCCCTCGTAGCGGCCGCCAGCGTTAAGTTGCAGCCATGCTCGTCGTCTTTGACATATGCATCCGCCGGGATGGTGGTGATCAGAAAGCGGGTTGCTCGACTCAAGGTAAGATGTGGCGAACAGGCCGGAGACCAAACAAGTACCATCCAGCTTTCCCGAAAGCTTTGGGCTTCATCTCCTTATTTAGGTTTCAAAGTTCACCCTGGCACGGGCTCTATGAAATTTTGCTAATCTTCACGAGAAGAGAACACACTTCCGAACATGGTGTGGGCACCATAGATTGTAAGAGGCACATTGAACGAGCGGTCCTCCCGCTCCACAGCGACAGGATGCAAAGGATAATCCTTCAAGAATTCCTCCCAGAAAGAATCCAGCTGGTCGTAGTCGACCAGCATGTCGAGGTAGCCATAATCGATGAGGGCAGTAACCTGGTCGCTATTGGAAGTACGGTGTACGCCAACCTCTGAGCTTAAACGTAGTTCAAGAACAGCGAAAAAGTTGCAAGCTAAGCTGCCAAAGCATGAGGCATGATGAATGGCCACTGCACCAGTTGCTCCTCGCCCTCTCTGTCCAACATTGGCAGCGGCGCATATTGCAGCTCGCAGTGAATGGCTTTATCCGCTTTCGCCACCCTCTCATGTAGACCACGTTCTCGTGAGTTTCTCAGCTTTCAGAAACAGACCATCATGCATGTGACAAGAACAGACTCCTTTCAAAGGTAATGAATCATTCAAGCATGACGACGTCTAGATGTCAACATCAAGCTACATTTTATGGCGATGTGTATACACACATAACACATGTACGTTTATGTATAG